CTCTAAAGAACTGTAGATGCTGCACAAACTCGAAATCTTCTGGTTTCCTCTTGGCTCCTCAAGCTTTTCCTTCTTTCTTGTGATCACAACCCACCAAAATCACCAAAAACGGCCTTAGATCTCACAAAACGATTAGGGTTTCAGTATGAGGTGTTCTGGGAGCATAAGGGACGATGGAGGCTGCATTAAGACGTTTAAATAGGGTGCAGTCCCTCGGATTTAGGGTTTTGTTCAAACAACGCCTACTCGTCGATTCGGTTTGCCGACTCGTCGAGTAGGTTGCTAAACTCCCGTGTCCAAAGTCGATTCTACTCGACGAGTTGGACCTTCAACTCGCCGAGTTCCAGGCCAAAATGCTATAATTACTTGAATGAAAATACGTACCAGGAACCGGGTGCTACATTACTCAATTACCCTTTTTATATGCACACTACAAATCAAGCTGCCAAATAGCCCCAATTAGCGCAAGCTACCAAGCAGCCCAAACAAGTCAACCTACTGATCACCACAACATAAGTTGTCCGCCTCGCAAGGCAACATATTAGGTAGCTAAGTGCAAAATGTGCTTAACTATGCCTCTCGTAAAAACTTTGAAACTCGCTTCCACGACCATGTGGATGCACACGCACATGTGTGGTAGGGGATTGTTGATCAAAACATTGTGATAATCAAGACCGAACCGAAGCAAAAATAAGTATTTTAAAATCTTACTCCCAAATTTTTTTTTGAATCCAGTCATATAATGTTTTGGAATACTAGAAAATTCCTACACTTATCCACACAATTGCCAATGATATCTACACCAATACTCCTTCTTCTTGTGCTTCAAGTCAACACGGAGAAATGGAGAGGGGAATAGAGTTGGGGCGGTGCCTCTTATAGGTATGGGAAGGAAATTAAAGTTTTTCGTGTTTCCTATAAAATGAATATTAATATTATGACAGATAAATGCCATAAAACCTTTAAGTTTATCAGTTTTTATCGGTTTTACCTAAAGTTTTATATTAGGTTTATTAATTTCTCAAATTTGCAACTTTTTATTATTACCCTTTTTGCAAAATTTATTGGGTAAAACTGAGTTTTTTTTTTTTTTTTGCCAAACTTAAGACCTTTAATGAACTAGAAAACCAAACGTAAAGACTTTTATGAACCAGAAAGAAAAAGGAAAAACCAGAACATTTCTGTCAAACTTAAGGACTTCAATAAACTAAAGGTTAAAATTGAAAATATATATATATATATATATATATATATATATATATATATATATATATATATATATATATATATATATATATATATATATATATTGCAAATATCTGGAATCTGCAAAAAGATAAAACCGATAAAAATTTACAAGCTTAAGGATTTTTATGTGATTATCCCTATTATGACCACTAAAATTCTGATTTTCTCCTTGCTTGTAATTTTTGATCAATATTCTTGTTTTTGATGGTTTCACTTGCTTTGGTTTTGCAAGATAAAGTCTATCTTACTTTTGATAGCTTCCTTTGACCGAGGTCCTTTTGAGGAAGCAACCGCCCCTCATTAGGTTCTAAGTAAATTTTCTATCATTTAACTGAAAAAGTCGGGATCAAATTCTTTCTAAACCCTCACCCTTTTACTTCTTCTAGGCTCAGCATCTTGTTGTCATCATGAACAACGTCATATGGCCTAATTAGCTTTCATACAAAACATATTTTCAAAGAATTAGGCATTCTTTAGTTCCATTATCCTCTTCTTCTTGTGCATGTCCTAAAATTTAGTTCTATTATCCTCTTCTTGTCCACGTCGTTTAATCATGTATTATATATAATTTGATTTTTATTAATAACTTTCATTCGTTAATAAAAAAACTAATTTTACGTGTTTATTTTTATATATTTGTCGGTATAATTCAAAGTGGTTAACGTTTTGACTTTAATTTATAACTTTCTTTTGTTGTTCTTTTTTTTAAAGTTACATGGTTATTTTTATTAACTTGCCGGTTTAAATTCAAGTTTGTCTATATTTTGACATAGTTTTTTTTAACATTATGTACGTTTCCTACGTATGAGACGGATCACATATAATAACTGTCGTTTGTTAATTTAAAAAACGTATTATATTCGAGTTTGTCTATATATATATATATATATATATATATATATATATATATATATATATATATATATATATATATATATATATATATATATATATATATATATATATATATTACATTTTTGCATTTAATTAGATGTACATTCTACATATCATTCGGGTCACATAATAATTTTCGTTCATTAACTTAAAAGTTGCATTATATTTGAGTTTATCTATGTGTCGTGTAATTTTTTTACGTATTAGTATAGATTCGAGTTTGTCTATATTTCGGTGTAATTCTTTTTTATGTTTCTTGCTTATTTTTATATACGTGTTTTTTCGTTCGTTTTTTTTTTTAATTTTATACATCAAAATGTTACTTTTATCAATACAATCGTCAAATTCAACTTACAAAATCCAACGCTTATGATTATGCTTTTATCTATTATATGTGAACAAACTAATACTCATGAACATACATAAAATAAGAACCAAAACATACAAAAAAAATTACATCAAAGCATTAAAAAAAAAAACAATGCAAAATTATATCGACACATGCATAAAAATAAATAAGTTTTTTTTTAAGTTAACGAACGAAAACTTAAATAATCAAAAACGTATTATATATGACTCGGGTCATACGTATGAAACGTATATAAAATTAAGCACGAAAACGTTAAAAAAAATACGTTTCGCAAAACATAGACAAGCTTGATGATAATACATTTTTTAAGTTAGCGAATGAAAGTTATTATATGTAACCCAAATGATACGTATGAATGTACATAAAATTAAGCACAGAAAAAATTATAGCGAAACGTAGACAATCTCAAATACAATACATTTTTTTTTAAATTAACAAATGAAAGTTATTATATGTGATTCATCTCATGCGTAAGAAACGTATATAAAGTTAAACACAAAAACGTTATTTAAAAAATTAAAAAAAAAAAAAAAAAAAAAAAACAACAACAACAACAACAATCTACATCGAAACACAAACAAACTCGAATTTAAACCGATAATTTTATATAAAAAAAAAACAATGTAATTTTTTAAAAAAAAAGTAACGAAAGAAAGTTTTAAATTAAAGTCGAAACGTTGATCACCTTGAATTACACCGACAAATATATATAGAAAAAATAAACACATAAAAATAGTTTTTTAGGTTAACGAATGGAAGTTATTAATAAAAATAAAATTATATATATATATATATATATATATATATATATATATATATATATATATATATATATATATATAGTACGGGGTTAAACACGAAATTTTAGAAAATAAAAGGGTGAACGTAATATTTTTCAAAGTTCAAAGTAATATTTTAAAAGGTAAAGGGGTGGAAAAGCTAAAAAATCATAAACATATAATATAGAAAAATTACATAAATAATCTATATGGTTTACCTATAGTCACAAACATCCAAAATGACAATGTTTTTGACATTTGACGCTTAATGATTAATGATAAATCGAGATCAAATGCTTTCTCTACCCTTTCCATTTACTTCCTTTAGGCTCAACCTCTTCTTCCTCATTTTGATCTTGGTGTTCATCATGAATAGCTTAGATGGGCTTTCATATTCCTTGGTTAAGCAAGGGAACACATTTTCAAAGAATGAGACACTCATTGATTCCGTTATTATAGTTCTTGTGCACATCTAGAATTTTATACTCATGCACAAGAAATCGATATACACTAATATGGTGAGTATATCCAATAAATATAAAATCGATAGTTGTAGGTCTTATCTTTGAAGCTTGGGTATCGATGTTACCACCTTGGCAAGACACCCGAACTTGTAAATAAGCAAATGGTGTGTAATGCCTATATTTTGAGGTGAGTAAAAAGGAGTGAACTCATGTGTGACTCCATTTTGAGGAATAAATAAGCAAATGGTGTGTAATGCCTACATGTCGTATTAGAGTACACCTAAAAATCACATTTACACAAGGTGAAGAATTACATAAGCTATATCATTAATCATTAAGCATCAAAAATATAAATACATCAAAAATAAACATGGCATGAGTCAGATGCTACACTAATCATCAATACATATCCTCTTTTATAGACGTTCTCTAATCATGAGCTAACCCTCACTTTTACTTTACCGTGATATGTAGGACACAAACAACATAAGGTCTAAATCTTAGTGTGTAACATCTTTTGATTCCCCGCATTCTAATACAACTTATAAGAGTCAGAAGTTTTACCCTTTTTTAGTCATCATTTTTAATTAATGATTAATCAGTGAATATTGGATATATGCCATTTACAAGAATAAATGTTTTGGAGACTTTCCAAAAGTTAATGAAATAAAGGTATGTCTTGACTAAAATGTTACCATTGCGGACATTAGGGTTCAATTGGCATTTATAGAACTATGTTGGGAGTAATAGCTTAAGATTTGATCTAGGGGTGTGATACTGTAATTACCCTAATAAAATGGAGTTTAGTGGAGAGGGACCAGGGACCAAGTTTGGGCTAAAACCCTCCTAAGTGTGAGAATCAACCAAATTGAGCAAGAGACTTTGAGAGTGAAGGTATTATAACTTTCATTTGTTGTGTTGATAAACCAAGATGCCATGTTAATTAATTGATTAACGCATGGTGAAAACATCAAAATGGAGAAATTAATTGTGGTTTGTCACATTTGGGATTGATTCTAATCAAAAGAAAGCATGTAAAACAAGTTTATAGTTAATTATTTATTATGTCGGATAATAAATATTAAGAGGCTAAGAATTTTTAAGAGGTTGGAGATGACAATAGGAGGGAAAAAGAGGGGTTCGTGTAATGTAAAAAAAAAAAGAAGAGGGAAAACGTTTGCTGAAACATTAGGGTATTTCCTGAAGACTCTCATGTTTGTTTTTATTCAGATACAACTTTTTCTTTTAAAAATTAGAAGGCTGCTGAACAATTAAGTGCCTATCAAACGCGCTCTGAATCTGAAAAATTAAAAAGCCAGCAAACAGCCTCTTAGATAGTTTAAAAAGCCAACAAACACCAAATCACACACACTCTAAATGACATAATGCTCTTCTCTGTTTCTACAACACAAATCCTAACATAACATAACATAACATAACATAACTCATAAATCATAATTGATGTATGATAATGAATCTTAAGATCTCAAGGGGTTGAACAAGTGAGAATGTGGGACTTGAACTGCTCCAGCTCATTAATCACCTCTTCCTGTGGTCTATGAATCAAATCAATCATCCTCCATATCTACACACATCATTCAAATAACAAACAAAACAAACATTTCAACTAATCAATACAACAACATTTTAATAAAAACAAAAATACTAAATAAATAAATAAGCGATATACCTGTAGAGTTCCACCACCACCTGTGCTTTCACCATCATCCGACACACTTACAATTGTCCACGGATCATGTGAGTTCCAGTGAAAATCAACCACCTTATCCCTGCAACAAAAGCACAATATAATCTTCGTTTCAATATATATATATATTTTCTGTAAACAAGAAAACCATTAATTAAAATTAAATATATATATACCTATGTCCAGAGTGTCTGAACAATAACCCAGGTGCAAACTTTGAGGCTGGACCAGAACGTTCACCAACCTGTAGACAAACAAACAAACAAACAACAAACCTTTTGTTTAAAAAAAAAAAAAAAAACAATTTGTTGCAAGAAAAGAATAGGGGAAAATGTAATTATTTATATATTAATTGAAAGTGGTTTTTGGTTGAGTTTACACCTTATTGTGATCCCAGATGTTCAAGACACCATCTTCTGCTGAGCTTCCAAAGATGGATGATTTGTCAGGAGACCACTGAAACATACAAAGTAATTGGAATTTAGAAATAGTGAACAAGGGTAAAACCGTCTTTTTTAAAATATTTATTTAATACCTGTACACAAAGTACAGCAGCATTGTGGTTTGTAAAAATGTGAACAGGTGATCCAATCCCATTGGAAGTAAGGTTTCGACGATCAAACAAACGAACAGTGTTATCAGCAGATCTAAAATACATACACATTAAATTAAAAATCATAATAAAAAATTTTAAAAAAGAAAAAAGTAAGAGAATATAGAGATATGTCATATATGATATGATTTACCCAGTTAAAATGAAATTTTCATCAATAGGGTTCCAATCAACACAGTGGAGATCAGCATTGTGAGCTTTTTCCACCTGAAAACAATCACATATAAAATAAACTTAAAAAATTACATTTTATAAACAAGAGACTTTTGAAACTTTATTACTTAATGAAAATTAAAGTGACCTTAACAACTGGAGAAGATCCAGTTCTTGCATCCCAAAGGATAAGACAAGAATCATCACCAACACTACAAAATTCTTGTCCACTATTCCACATAACAAACTTCCAATTAGCAAAGTACATGTGTCATGACTATAACTATAAGATATTAAGATAGAAGAAACCATTTTCATGACATGATACCTAGAGGGGCAAAATTGTACATCCTCAACAGTATCCTGATGCCCTTGAAAGATACCCCTTGCTTTAATTTTAGGGCTCTCAGTGACTTTATCTTCAGTCTTTGGGCTTTTACCACCATTGGATCCTGGAGACTTTGTTGCCCCTGAATCTGTTGCTAATGTGGAAATATGATCTTGAATACTCCACAAAACAACTGACTTGTCCTTACCTACCACAACAATTAAAAAAAAAAAAAAAAATTTGAGTAATTAAATAAAAGTATTCCATTTCGAGAACTTTTCTTGAATCATGGTTTTGAAATATATCACCTCCAGATAACACAAAGGGTTCACTTTGGCACATAGCAAGAGCAAATTCTGCATTCTCTTGATGACCAGTCAAGATCTGAAAGATTTGTAAGGGTAAAAAAGGAATTAACTTTAGATAGAATCATACAGACCCAGATGAAAAAAAAGAACACCCACAAATCACAATAAAGAAAAATGAAAGAAGGAAGTGCAAAATGTATTAATTGTGGTGTGATTGTCTACAGTGATCCCCACCAGATCAGGACGCGACTCTGTGGCTCCAAGGATAGCATGGCGATTGGGCTGAGCTTCAACATCCCAAATTAGGACCTGGTTTAATAAAATTATAATTCATTAAAAGAATACATATCAAAAACTAATAAAATAAAGGACCAAAAATGAAAAATGGAAAACAAATGCGTACATCAGGGCTGTCTGTGTGTGTTGCTACTATTTTGCTGTTTTGAGGAAGCTCTCTGATGCGGTTTACCTTCATAAATACAATTAAATGTCAAATAAAAAAATTATTTATTTATTTACTTATTTAACCTTAATCTATGAAAAACATCATAAAGAAAATAGAGAATACCTCTCCAGGATGAATAATGGTTTTAAACTTCTTCACAAAGGGAGATCTTGCTTCTTCATTGAACTACAACAACATCAGTAGTAGTCAGTAAACTAATTCACAAAAATTAGAAATCACAATTTGGTGTTAAATTCAAGAAAATAACATATTCTTCTTGTTACAATCTGAAATATGAACCCAATTATAGCAATGTCATCCAAATAAAAACCAATTTCCACCATAGATGAAGAAAAGTTTGAAAGCATGATGCTATAACTGTAGATTTTTCAAAGGAAACAGTTAAAAGTAGAATGTTTGTAATAGAAAGAAGTGAAAGTACAAAAGTAGAATGTTAAAAAAACATTAATAAATAAAAGTATATTGCAATTTCTTGCATTTATCCCCAAAAAGGAGTACTATGAACTACAATTAGAAGTCATTATGGACTCACCTGTGCTATGTGTTCTGCAGCTGCAACTCTTGGTTTAACAATTTCACAATTTGCTATCACAAGTGTATTTGGAACACTACCATCAGTCTGGAAGAAGGTTTAGGGATATGAGAAAACAATAAAATACAAGAAAACTATTTTTAGAAATCACTTTCTTGGTATCTGTAATTTCTTCTAAAAATAATACTTGGTAGCTGACAAAAGCAAACCTATATATCTTAAACTAAAGAAATTCAAGAATGCAATAAGAACAAACAACACATTTCTGCAAGCATCATCATATACCTGTTCTGAGAGGTAGAGTCTCTGGCGATTCTTGTAAGTAGCTTGCTCGAGTAGTGGCCCCCATCTATTAACAAAAAATAGTCAGTGTGAACATACAACTTGTTACTAGTAATTGCATGTTGTAACTTTATTCCCCCAAAAAAATAGCGAATGTAAAAGTCTATGACACGTTTAAAGCACAAAATAAGCTCAGTTAATAGTATATTATTTCCTAGTCAAACATATTCCTATTCACAAAGGTCAGTGAGATAATGGAAACCATAATGGTGGCAACTGAGTTGAGAATAAGTTTCAAGAATGTTATTAAGTTCAAACTTTCCATGTCTCCGTGTGTCAAATTAGCTTTCAACGAGGAAGTAAGACCAATCAATCGCCCTAATTACTAATTAGTAGGCACAACGAGTTCATTGTTACTACTCGATTGCTAAAGTAAAACAAATGCAGGTAGTAGTGATGAAATTGAGGAAGAGATAGTGGATTTAATGTAGATGAAAGTGAATCTGCGAAAAAGAAACCCTAGAAATTGGAATATAGTGTACGAACCGGCAAGAAAGAGAGGGCCAAAGGAGGTTGTGGTTGGCGAGCCAGTCGTAGAGAATGGGGACGAGAGTCTTCCACTGTGAGTATCGCTCGTTCACCGACGGCTGACCTCCGCCTTTCCCGCCTCTCTCCTTCATTTTCTCCTTCTTTTTCCTCTCTCGTAGTGTCTTCACTGCCCTATGCTTTTCTTTTCCCCTTGAGCTTTGGTGAAATCTAGACAGCTTTTACTTTTTAACTATAGCTTTTAAATTGCCAAAACTCTCGAACGTTTGTTTGTTTGTTTGTATATAATAGGTTATCTTGGAGAAATCCAAATATATTTGAGCATCTTTTATATAAACACCTGGGGAAATTTTATAAAAGACATTAAATGTATACAAAATTTTAGTTTTGATATTGTGTTTTTTTTTTCCTATTACAAAAGACAATGTTATTTTTAGGGGTTCAAAATATTGTTTTTCGGTTTTGGACTGGGCGCGAACTTTTCGAGTGGAATGATACAGTCTCTGAATTGGACGAAATTCGCACATCTTATTTATATGCTAAAACTATAAATCACTTTGTGATCACCGACGATGTTATTACGACCATTCGGGACTGTTCAGGGACTCAAAATGTCGTTTTTCGATTTTGGACTCGCACGAACTTTTCGAGTGGAATGATGTAGTTTCCGAATTTGACGAAATTCGCACATCTTATTTATATGCTAAAATTATAAATCACTTTGTGACCACCGACGATGTAATTTCGGCCATTCAGGACTGTTTAGGGGCTCAAAATGTCGTTTTTCGGTTTTGGGTTGGCGCACGAAGTTTTCGAGTGGAATGATGCAGTCTCCGAATTGGACGACATTCGCACATCTTATTTATATGCTAAAACTATAACTTACTTCGTGATCACCGACGATGTTATTTCGGCCATTCGGGACTCGGCGAGTCCATATTCTGGACTCGGCGAGTCACCGCTGTTTGATGAAACCCTAAATTTCAAGGGTTTGCACCATATTTAAACCCCTCATTTCCCCCCAAGCCCCCCCCCCCCCCCCCCATTCACACTTAGAGCCCTATACTTCATTTAAGCTTGTTCCTTGTAAGAATGAAGCATTTTGGTGTGTTTTCTTGAAGTTTTGAAGAGGGAAGAAGAGTAGATCAAGAAGAAAAGAAGGAGGTCAGGCTTATTGGTGTTATACCAGTGATTTCCTTGAGGTATAACTCATTTTCCCTCTATTTTTATGCTTGTTGTCCCTTGTATCTCCATGAAAGTCTTTCTTGAACCTTTTCCTAGCTTGTGCATGAAGTATAATTCGTAATGGGTTGATTATCCGCTAGATCTAGTCATGTTTGAGCTCCAGAAGCTCAGATCTATACCTTTATGGGAGCAAATTGCTTGAATGACCTAGATCTACCCTTTTTGTGCATTTTGAGCCCTAAAACTCTCATGGATGTTTATTTACACGTAAAGTTGGAAATTTTACGTGTAAACCAGGCCCTAGGAACCCAGATCTATGAATGGCATGGGCTGGATTCAAGCAAAATCGCGTGTATAGTTTTTGCATGAGGCAGACTCGACGAGTCGTTCATCTAACTCGGCGTGTCGGGTCGCGAGTCCCCGGGTTTTTTCCCCTTTTCGTGTTTGCGGGTTGGAGTAGTGAGTCATAGGGTGTGACTCAGTGAGTTGGAAGCCAGACTCACTCATAAAGTCACTCGGCGAGTCAATGCCATGACTCGGCGAGTTCATGGCAATCTTTTTGTCTCAAGAACAACTCGGTGAGTTGTTCATACAACTCGGCGAGTCACAGCTTAAAGTGTTCTTCGGATGAAGGTGAACTCGGCGAGTTGTTCGTACAACTCGGCGAGTAGGATGAAGGACTATTGGACGTGGGTATAAAGAAAGGGACTCGGCGAGTTGGGAAGCCAACTCGACGAGTCTGGTCAACTGGCAGTTGACTGTGACTTGACTCATGACTTGTTAAAGGTAAATGGACAATTTACCCTGAGGGCGGTTAGCAGTATTTGACTAAGTGTTTGGTGGGAATTGTAGCCGGAGGATTTCCGGAGCAGCAGCAGCAGACAGACCATTCCCACACAGATCAGCAGCTACTACGAGGTGAGTTACCTTCCAGTAGCGGTGGGTCTAAGGCCACAATGATGGCCCACCAGTAGAAGATGTATGATAGATGATTGTCTTTGTGATATCATCTAGGTTTGCTGCTACCTGATATGTTATATGCTAGCATGATATATTGTATGTGATAGTAGTAGAGTTCGGTTGTTAGGACTGAAGGGTAGTCAGACACCCCAGATACATCTGACAGTATATGATGATATGTTTGCATGCTGGCTTGTTACGATATATGCGCTAGAGGTAGTAGGAGGGGACTAGTCCCCGAGTTCGGTTGTAGGACCGAAGGGTAGTTCAGGCACCCCAGATATGTCTGATATTATGTTTGTGTTATGATATATATGATAGTAGAAGTATGGGGTGAAATAGTCCCCGAGGTTCGGTCATTAGGACCGAAGGGTAGTCAGCACCCTAGAATAGCTCGACATGGGTAGTCAGCACCCCAGAATGGCTTGACACGGGTGGGTCGGCACCCCAGAATGGTCGTACCGGTTAGGTCGGGCACCCCAAAAATGTCTGGCAATATGTATGATATGTGATTGTATGGTATGTGGTATGATGGGGGAACTCACTAAGCTTCGTGCTTATAGTTTTCAGTTTTGATTTCAGGTACCTCTTCTTCGAAGGGGAAGGAGCTGGCGCGGTAGCGGTACATCACACACATGCTTATATTCCGCATTATGATATCACCTGGGGATTTGTACTCTGACACATTTCTGTTTTTATAACAATGTTTTCCAGAAATGCAATATCTTTTGTGAAATGATATGATGGTTGAACGTTTTATCCCTAATGTTTTGGCTACGCACACGTTTTAAAAATGAAATTTTTGGCTCGTATTTTTGGGATGTTACATGCAGTCTCCGAATTGGATGAAATTTGCACATCTTATTTGTATGCTAAAACTATAAATCACTTTGTGATCACCGACGATGTAATTTCGGCCATTTGGGACTATTTAGGGTCTCAAAATGTCGTTTTTCGGCTTTGGGTTGGCACGCGAACTTTTCGAGTGGAATGATACAGTCTCCGAATTGGATGAAAATCTCACATCTTATTTATATGCTAAAACTATAAATCACTTTGTGATCACCGACGATGTTATTTCAGCCATTCGAGACTGTTTAGGGGCTCAAAATATCATTTTTCGGTTATGGGCTAGCGCACGAACTTTTCGAGTGGAATGATACAGTTTCCGATTTGGACGAAATTCACACATCTTATTTTCTATGCTAAAACTATAAATCACTTCATGATCACCGACGATGTAATATCGGCCATTCGGGATTGTTTAGGGGCTCAAAATGTCGTTTTTCGGTTTTGGGCTGGCGCGCGAACTGTTCGAGTGGGATAATACAGTCTACGAATTGAACGAAATTCGCACATATTATTTATATTCTAAAACTTTAAATCACTTTGTGATCACCAACGATGTTATTTCGGCCATTCAGGATTGTTTAGGGGCTCAAAATGTCGTTTTTCGGTTTTGGGCTAGCACGCGAACTTTTCGAGTGGAATGATGCAGTCTCCGAATTGGACAAAATCTGCACATATTATTTATATGCTAAAACTATAAATCACATCACGATCACCGACAATGTTATTTCGGCCATTCGGGACTGTTTAGTGGCTCAAAATATCGTTTTTCGGTTTTGGGCTGGCGCACAAACTTTTCGAGTGGAATGATGCAGTCTCCGAATTGGACGAAAATCGAACATCTTATTTATATGCTAAAACTATAAATCACTTCGTGATCACCGACGATGTAATTTCGGCCATTCTAGACTGTTTGGGGCTCAAAATGTTGTTTTTCGGTTTTGGGCTGGTGTGCGAACTTTTCGAGTGGAATGATGCAGTCTCCGAATTGGATGAAATTCGCACATATTATTTATATGCTATAACTATAAATCAATTGGTGATTACCGACAATGTTATTTCGTCTATTCAGGACTGTTTAGGGGCTCAAAATGTCGTTTTTCGGTTATGGGCTGGCGCGCGAACTTTTCGAGTTGAATGATGCAGTCTTCGAATTAGACAAAATTCGCACATCTTATTTGTATGCTAAAACTATAAATCACTTCGTGATCACCGACGATGTATTTAGGGACTCAAAATGTCGTTTTTCGGTTTTGGGCTGGCACGCGAACTTTTCGAGTGGAATGATGCAGTCTCCGAATTGGACAAAATCCGCACATCTTATTTATATGCTAAAACGATAAATCACATCATGATCACCGACGATGTTATTTCGGCCATTCGGGACTGTTTAGTGGCTCAAAATATCGTTTTTCGGTTTTGGGCTGGCGCACAAACTTTTCGAGTGGAATGATGCAGTCTCCGAATTGGACGAAAATCGAACATCTTATTTATATGCTAAAACTATAAATCACTTTGTGATCACCGACGATGTAATTTCAGCCATTCTAGACTGTTTGGGGCTCAAAATGTCGTTTTTCGGTTTTGGGCTGACGTGCGAACTTTTCGAGTGGAATGATGCAATCTCTGAATTGAATGAAATTCCCACATCTTATTGATATTCTAAAACTTTAAATCATTTGTGATCACCGATGATGTTATTTCGGCCATTCAAGACTGTTTAGAGGCTCAAAATGTTTTTTTTCCGTTTTGGGCTGGCACGCGAACTTTTCGAGTGGAATGATGCAGTCTCCGAATTGGACAAAATTCGCACATCTTATTTGAATGCCAAAACTATAAATCACTTTGTGATCACCGACGATGTAATTTCGGCCATTCGGGACGGTTTAAGGGCTCAAAATGTCGTTTTTCGGTTTTGGGCTGGCGCGCGGACTTTTCGAGTGAAATGATGCATTCTCCGAATTGGATGAAATTCGCACACCTTATTTTTATGCTAAAACTATAAATCATTTTGTGATCACTGACGATGTAATTTCAGCCATTCGGGACTGTTTAGGGGCTCAAAATATCGTGTTTCGGTTTTGGGCTGGCGCACGAACTTTTCGAGTGGAATGATAAGATGCTTATATAGTTAGTGACAATTAGGGTAAACCCTAATTGTCATGGCTTTCCATTTCCTTGGATCCACAGGTTTAAATATACCACAGACAATCCATGGAGCATTAGTCCACTATACACGTATGAATGATTTACACAATCAACCCATATATTTAATTAGTCTTCTTTTGGT